GTTCTTAAAGTCTGTTATCTTGTTAGTCTATATTTTTTGCTATGTTCTCATAATTCAAGAACAAGTAATAAATTTTAATACCTGAGCAGTACATTTTGTTATTTAAGTAGTAAATAGTCTTGGTTGGTTTGTAGTGAAATGACAACGCTTGGAATGTGAATGACTATATTTGTGTTGATATTTTTCTATAAAGCCAAGAAAGTTTACTTGTTACTGGAATTGAATTTATTTGGTAATGGAGCTTACCAGATTTGTTATGTTAATGAATATATTGTTGTGAAGCAAATTAAGGTGAGTGGGTTATAGAATTTACTATACTTCTTAATAGAATTAACTACATTTCTTTTGATAATGACTAGATTGTTGTAAAAGAAATATAGTACAGTGAATGACTGAGATTGTGTTTTTTGCAGGAAGGAAAAACAGTATTAAAAAGAGAGCCAAGTAAAAAAGTAAAGAATGGGTACATGCATGTTGTTTCAAAAAGAATTTCTTGTGTTGGGAAAGAACTTGAAGTATAGCATTTGCACAGACAAATGCATTGTCCAACTATTATTATGATATTTGACTTACAATTGTAGATGAAATTTGTTTACAAAAACATATTGAATCATTATTGTTGCACAGTTATTGATAACATGTACTAATTATGTTTACCTTTGGGCATCATAAAATAAAGGTAGCTTTTGACAACATTTGTGAAGTGATTCATAACTTTTGAAATGGATATAACAATTTCCATTATGTGTTTTGCAGCCTCTTTATTTGCAATTATTTCTAAACTATTTGCACACAATTTACTAAACATGAAACAAAAATAACAACTTGCGAAATAAAAGTGACCATTTGTATAAAGAATTTTGCAATCTGCTTTAAGCCATTTGTAGACAATTTTACAAAACATCTAATGTAAATGACAACTTGCACAATAAAAGTTACCATTGGCATTAGAGGATTTGCAGCTTGTTTATTTGCAATAATTTTAAATCATTTTGTACACAATTTTACTAAATATGTAATAGGAATAGTAACTTGCGAAATGAAAGTGACTATTTATGTAATAAGTTTTGCAACTTGTTTTAAGCCATTTGCAGACAATTTTACAAGAAAGTAATAGGAATGAATCCTTACATAATGAAATTTACCGTTTGTGTCCGGAGATTTATAACTTATTTATCTGCAACCTTTTTAATCCTTTTGCACATAATTTTACTAAACATGTAACGAAAACAACTTGCAAAATGAAAATGACTACTTGCATAACAAGTTTTGCAACCTGCTTTAGTCAATATGTCAGTATGTAAAAACCCTCGTCTACTTGTTTCTTTTTACTTCAGGGGCATTTTAGTCATTCCACCAAAACTTACGAATCCCAAATCCATATCTCATGCCCATCTGGTCATTTTACTTATTTGGATGATCTTTTTGTCTTTTTCAATTTCAATGAGTATTTTTTTGTTCATTTTTCCTATTTTAATCTTAATAATTTATAAGTTACATTGCTATATTAATTAGTAATTACTTCTTATATACTTCTCCGGTCCTTATTATAAGACCCCATTGACTTTTTATTTGGTCCTAATTATAAGACCCCAATCCATTTTGTCTCTTATATTTATGCATTTTTTTCCAAGATAATCCTTCTAATAATGATAGTTTTAGCCAATATACTTAATTAGCAAGGATATTTTAGGAATGACAACACTTATTTATTATAAATAACCAACTTAACTTACTTCCTTAATCTCTTCAAATAAGTCAATTGGGTCTTATAATTAGGACCGGAGGAGTACTTTTTTTGTGTGTTTTTACTCACTTTTTCTGTCATTATCTTATTCTCCAATACTCTTCACTGCATCTTCGTAAAAAATCCTGCTTTCAATAATATCCTGTTCATGTAAGACTGTAATTAAGATATATTTTCATTGTTTTGTTGAAATTTCTGCTTACCGTTTCTTTTTCTTTTTCCTTTTTTTGCATATGTACAAAATTTCTTGATTACGTACAATCAGAAACAACAATGACAAAGAAGAAAATAAAAGTTTGTATTTGAAGGATTTTATTTTTTTTTTTGCCATCGAAATATTTTTAAGATTTTAGACAAAGGATTTTAACGAAAATTAGAAAACCGACCCAATGTGAATAAAGTCCATTGGTGCAAACTTTTGATTACTTTAGATAATTAAAAAACTCAAAAAAAAGAAAGCGCTTTTAACGTGTAGTCAAAAAGAGTTTGATGACCAAACTTTTTTATTATTTCGTGAGAATTTATGCGCATTTTAAACTAGAGATATCTACCAACAGAGTGGGAATACTCGACAAATCAACATAAACGAAGTCCGCCAAATTAGCTTTAGTCTTATCAAGCTAATATTTGATTTTTTTTTTTCGGGTGTTGGATTAATTTCTTCAAGTAATTTTACGATACAAAGAAAAGGTGGATTATGAAACAAGGGAAAAGGTTAGTTGGAAATTTTAGGGAATTATAAATTAATTTTCTCTAAAAATTATCGGATATAAAGTTTTGATGTAAATGAAAAGGAAAAAATATAGATGCAAATAAAAAATGTTATAAATCATCACATGCACCTTTTTATAGTAGATTGAACTTGCCATCTTCCACTTACGAGCATTTAATATTTCAATTATTTTAAAAAATAACAACACGCACAATATTTTTATTTTTATACTTTTAGAATTTTAATTAGATTCTTTATATTAACAAAGCTACTACATAAAATATTTCCACGTAAATAAAAGGTTAAAAAAAAGAAGAAGAAGAAGAACACAGACAATCCCGTAAATCAGATAGAAACTTCACTCCTTTGTCAAGAATTTTATTACTGATTTTCCGTACTTATTAATTAATTTTTCTGATTTCAAAAATAGGAGACAAATAATTAATTTAAATTAATTATTTATTAGAAAATGCGTTGATTATATCAAAGTAATCATTTTAATTATTTGCATTGTATTAATATGCACGAACCGTTGTAGAAAATGAATGGGTAAGAAAGCATGTGATTGTGCAGTCATTTTAAAAAATTTCTGCGTACTTCAAACGAAAATTCTTAAAAAAAAGAACTTTCATGGCTTCGTCGAAAATTCTTATTCTTTAAACAATATTAAAAAGAAGGCGTTGGTGGACTCGAAAATTTTCCATTATTATTTGGTGGAAGTTTAGGCCAAAAACTTAGTTATTGAATTGTGAGATATAATAATATTCTCAACATTTATTAACTTCTCCGTCTCATTCTATTTATAAGATACAACTTTTAGGGTGTCTTGAATCTTGATCCTATTTATAAGATACATTATTAAAGTGTGTTTGAAATTTTAACCAATTTTTTATATCTTGTTCCTCATTAATTATATGTTACTATTACCACATTAATTATTTTTCACATTTTTTCTATTCACTTTCTCTCTCATTCATTCACTGTCCCCCCATAAATAAGTATATTTTCTAAAAATAAAATGTTTTATATGTGTTTATTGTCTTTAAAAAATTTTTGATAAACATAATTAAGGTATTGGATAACAGTAAAGAATTCTTGAAGATAAATAAAAATTTTTAAAGTAAAACCAAAATAAAATATTTTAGACTTGGAGTCAAAAAGTATTTTTCTTTATTGAAGGGAAAAAAAAAGTGTTTTCACTAAGCAATTTCCACAGCAGCTTCGTGAAAGACCTTAAACCAAAAAAAAAGAAAGAAAGTAAAAAGGTATGTTTTTTCATAGGTCAAAAAGAGTTAATAAAGACAGAATTTCATTACATCGGGGAAATTTCTACTCACTGTTTTTTTTTTTTTGGCTTGGTACAGGAAATTTTAATTAATTTAAACCAGATAAAGAAAAGAAGCTTTTTTTCGTTGGACATAGACTTCCTGAAATTTTTAATTAATTTCTACTCACTGTTTTTTTCCCACTTGGAACAGCAAATTTTTAATTAATTTAAACCAGATAAAAACTGGGACAAACTTTTGGAGATATCTGTCCCACTCGTAAACGAAGGAACATTGAAATTTCTACGCACTTTAAACCAAAAAAAATTAAAATAAAATCAGAAACAAAACAAGGAAATAAAAATCATACCAGAAGAACGATCCTGGCTTCCTGAAACTTTCTAATATAACATAATAGGAGTTTTGTCTTATAAAGTACATGATTTTTTTTTTGCTCAAAAAAAAGTACATAATTTTTTTTAATTAATTGCGGTGTTTCTTACAAAAGGCACTTTTTACACACATTTTTTTTACTAACTTTTTTTCTTTTTACTTGGTACGGGAAATTTTTAATTAATTTAAACCAGATACAAAAAGGAAGTATTTTTCCTTTGACATCGACTTCCTGAAAATTTTTGACTAATTTAGACAATAAAAACCCAAAAAATAATGTTGTGTTTTTTACTTGAATTCAAGAAGAGTCAATGGCTGAACTTCATATTTCCAAGAAATTTATGCTTACAAAATTTTAAGCCACAAATGTTCACCCACACGATGTGAATACCAAACACATCGCCAAATTATAATTTCAACCTAAGCTAAGATTTGATTTTGGACACTCCCACGAAGGTATTAATATGATTATTATTATTTTCATAGAATTTTTTGCAGTTCTATAACATTAACAGCATGTATTAAAAGAAATATTCACATTAAAATTTTAAATATTAAAAAAAATTCTTAAATTCTGGCATATTGATAAAAGTTGTACTTTAAACAGGGGAAAAAAAACTAACTTCCTTAGAAGTTTCTGCATGCTATAAATCCGAAACAAAATAAGGCAAGAAAATCATACCGGAAGAACATTCCTTGCTTCCTGGAAATTTCAAAGTTTTAAAGGAAAAAAAAAAAAGCGTTGTTGACTTGGAGTCAAAAAGAACTGCTGACCAAAGTTCTCACTATTTCGCGGAAATTTCGGCCTACTTTGACTGTTAAAATCTTAAATGCACTCAATACTGACGGACTTATTTTTTCTGGTGTGCCGATTGAATTCCCAGGGTAAGCCAACTCACCAAATCAACTTCAACTCTTCAACCTCAGATTTGATTTAGCATCTCCGACCAGGTATTAATATGGCCTTTCTTCCTCATTCTCTAGCAACCTAAACGCTATTCTTTTGTTCTTTCTAACAAATAATCAACAGCTTACAAAACATAGTTTTTTTTTTTTTGTCTCCAAGCAATGGCTGCTTTTGCTTATGCTTGTTCTCCCGAAGCTCCATGTCGAAAGTATGAAGTTTTCATCAGTTTTAGAGGATCAGACGTTAGATCTGGTTTTCTCAGCCATTTGAAAAAAGAGTTGCATCAAAAGAACATAGATATTTATGTCGATGATAGGCTTGAAAGAGGAGAAGAAATATCATGGGCACTTGTAGAAGCAATAGAAGGATCCATGATTGCATTGGTTATATTCTCAAAAGATTATGCTTCTTCAAAGTGGTGCTTAGAAGAGCTTGTCAAAATCATGGAATGTAAGGAAGCTAAGCAACAGATTGTGATACCAGTTTTCTATCATGTAGATCCTTCAGATGTTAGGCATCAAAAATGCACTTATGAGGATGCATTTACTCATCATGAACAGAAGTCCAAGGATAAAGTGGGTAATTTGGAAATTTGGAGATCTGTCTTGACAAAAACCGCGGACTTATCTGGCTACCATTCATCAAATTTTCAGTAAGTTTATTTTTATTATTCTTAATTTCTTAAGCTTTTTCTCAGTTTGTTCAAAACAATTTAAATATAGTAACGTCATATAAAAATTACGTCTAGCATTAATTACTTCTATAATGCATTACTAGCATAATTTTATTTGATTTTTATATGCCAGAAATGAATCTGAACTCATCAATGCAATAGTTGAAGGCGTCTTAAAAAAATTGGAAGATAAGAGTCCAATTGTGCCAAGATCTCAGCTTGTTGGATTTCATCAAAATTTCATTAGTGTTGAATCATTAATGGAAATTGAGTTGCCATAAGGTCGAATCCTTGGAATTTGGGGCCCAGGAGGGATAGGGAAAACAACTCTTGCTCGTGCCATATTTGACAAATTCTTGTCTAAATTTGAAAGTCATTGTTTCTTAGAAAACGTGAGAGAAGAATCAACAAAGATTGGTGGTTTGAATTCTTTGCTTCAAAAACTTCTTTCTGAGCTATTAGATCAAAAAGATCACATAAATATGAATCACGTGATGAGAAGGGGCTGAAACAAAAAAAAGTCTTAATTGTACTTGATGATGTGGATAATCCAAAGCAACTAAAGGATCTGGCAGGACAACAACTTTACTTAGGACAAGGCAGCAGGGTCATTGCAACAAGTAGAGACAAGCATGTTCTTAGAAGTGGAGGGATTCATGAAAAATGCATACATGAAGTCAATAAATTAAGTTTGGAAGAATCACTTGAACTTTTCAGTATCCATGCCTTCAATCAAAATCATCCCATCAAGGAATATGAACAGCTATCAAATTTGATAGTGGCCTTGGCTAAAGGCATTCCTTTAGTTTTAGAAGTTTTGGGTTCCCATTTTCATTCTAGAGATAAAGAATACTGGGAAAGTGAGCTTAGCAAACTCCAAAAGCATCCCCATCAGCAAATTCAAGATATATTGAAGGTGAGTTGTGATGGATTGGATCCTATGGACAAGGAAATAGTTTAGACATTGCATTTTTTTCCTTGGGAAAACCAAAAGATGAAATTGCTTATGTACTAGAGGCTTGTGGTTTCAAATCAGTTAGTGCAATATAAAATCTTATCAATAAGGCTCTCATAATGTCCAATTGTTATAGCTATATCATAATACATGATTTGATGTGAGAAATAGCTACGCAAAGAGTCCATGCAGAATATATGATACATCCTGAAAGGCGTAGCTGATTAAAAGATGTAGATGAAATATGTGATGTATTAAAAAGTAACAAGGTAAGGGAAAGATACATCAATTTATTTGTTCTATTTTTATATTTGATATTTTAAAAAATAATTTTTATTTTATTTTGTTCAGGAAGCTAATGAAATTGAAGGCATTATATTGGATGTGTCTCAAATCAAGCATTTAAAATTGAGAGCATATGCCTTCTCAAAGATGAAAATTTTGAAAATCCTCAAAGTTTTTTACTCTACAGAGCGGTCCAAAATTAAGGCATGTATAGAGCTTCCTTCGAATCTTGACTATTGTCCTGATAGGTTAAGATATTTTCAGTGGGATGATTATCCATTGGAGTCTATGCCATTAGGCTTTTATCTTGCCATTAAGATCAATATAGGGGCTATATTTAGTCTATTCTTAGAGGATTAGGACCTAGTCCCCATTCCAGTGTGGCACAAATACGAATAGTAACAAGTATGGGTAAATATTTGTGCTATACCTTATTTTTTATTTAAATTAATTACACTACTAGGAAAAAAAAGTTTTTTAGATCGGGTCAAAATAGACCATTTTTACTGTCAATTGTGTACCTACTAGAATTTTTATTTTAAAAAAAATTCATTTTTTTTGACCGGGTGAAAATAGGACCCACCAAGAATAAATTTATCATCGTATAAACATTCAAAGATATAATAATATATTTAAAACCCCATAAATTAGAACATGCAATGTGTGAAAAGGAAACCAACGTCAAGGCGGACGGCGCTCACTCCTTTGCTCTGGATGCAAATGCTTGTGAAGGGCTCCTTGGATATTCGCACTTCTCGCCATAGAGCTTATTATAACCAACATATTGGCAATAAGATTATTTATATTGGCAGAGAAAATAAAATTTTCCACATTGATAAAAGTTGCTACATATAATCTTTCCGCATAAGAAATATAAGTCACATGGACAACTTTGTTCCTGAGTCATTAATTTTGTCCCTGTCGGATTAAACTTGTGTCTTCGAAGAATTCTAGTTATTGGATTGTGAGACATAAAAAATATTAAATTTGATTTTATATTCTGAACTATTCCTTTAGGTGTCCATATTTTAGAAGCTTATGTAGTTCACCTAATACTTTCAAATAATTTTTTTTAAATACATCCATACTGTGATAAAAATTTTTGTGATTCATCTATCATCATCAAATATTTTTCAAGTTGCACCCACAGAATACTTGATGCACGTTCACTTGACATACTCTTTGAAGAGTTAACAATAGTATTAAAATTGCTCTTAGAAAAATATTTTTAAAATTATTTCCAAAAAATTTAATACTTTAAGAATAAAATTACAATATAAAATGCTTTAAGGTGTTTGATACACTCAAAAAAAAAAAACATCAAGGCGATGGATTAAGCACAAAATATTTTAGGATACTTGAATGTACACGAAAAAAATATTTCAAAGACATTAGATAAACCTTAAAATATCATAAATATTTTTAGTAATTATTAACGCCTCTATTCTATTCTATCTATAAAATAGTGGCCTTATCCAGTTTATGGGATACACTTAAAATATGTACAAAATTTAATAAATTTTTATATTTTAATATTAATTATTTATATTATCTCACTATATTAATCATTGATTATTATAAGATCCTTTCAATCAAGTCATACTGTTTAAGAGAAAATAGTTAAAATTAATTAAAAATAATAAATGTGTTTTGAACTTTTTTCAAATAATGCTCTCATTTAATAAGAGGAAAAAAATAAGAGAGCCAAATTAATATTGAGATAAATGATAAAAAATATAGTATAAAAAAATAATGAGAAAATAGATAATTAATTAAAAATAAAATTAGTGAAAACTTTCAATCAAGTCATACTGTTTAAGAGAAAATAGTTAAAATTAATTAAAAATAATAAATGTGTTTTGAACCTTTTTCAAATAATGCTCTCATTTAATGAGAGGAAAAATAAGAGAGCCAATATTAATATTGAGATAAATGATAAAAAATATAGTATAAAAAATAAATGAGAAAATAGATAATTAATTAAAAATAAAATTAGTGAAAACATGTTTAATGTTTAGACAAAAACAGCATATCAGCATTAGGGGTGGAAACAGGCTAGGCCAGGCCTCACCCTTAACAGGCCTGGCCTGGGGACTGTGAAAGGCCTTTTAAAATCGGCTTGAGCCTGGCCTGTGATCTGTTAAGAGGCCTGTCGCCTGTTAATAAATTTTAAACACACATAAATCAATTTAAAATTACAATAATTCAACCTAATTGATCTAAAATACAAACAAAAAAAAAAGAAATTATCAAATTGACACGATTTGTAAAACATGTCCCCTTATGCCCAAAAAAAATCTAATATGAAAAATTATTAGAAAACATAATTTCACTCTGATATAAAAATATAACTCCATCCCATCTCTAGTATAAAAATTAGTTGATGACTAGATCTAGTTTAAAATATGAAACATCCTTAATCCCTTTTATATTTTAAATTTATCATTTATTCAAACTAATTTACTAACAAAATGATATTTGATCCTTTTGTTACACATGGTTGTTTTAAAAAAAATGTTACAGTTATTCTAATTTATTTATTTATTTATTTAAATTAATCAAGTAACTATTATAATAAGAAGAAATGAAGCATGCAATAGGCTCTAGATATCACGTTTATGTGGATGGAGTTTTCTCAATTAACTAATCAGAATAGCAGATTCTCTCCTATTAATTTATAATTTTAACCTAAAAAAAAAAGATAACAGGCCCAAGCTGCCTGACAGGCCTAACAGGCTTATTATCAGGCTTGAGCCTAACCTGATAAAGTAAACAGGTCTTTTTACAAGCCTGAGTTTAATCTAATATCTAAATAGATTAGGTCAGGTCAGGTCACAGGACCCTAACAGACTGAATGACCTATTTGCATCCCTAATCAGCACATTCTAGATAGAATGGATGGGCCGCGTGGAACTTGGAACAGCATAGAGTAGGATGCACGCTATTGTGGTCGGCCGCGCACGCAAGACGTAAGCGGAGCCTCAGCGAGTACTTGTTGTATATTTCACTTACTTTTTCTTTTACTAACTCTTTCTAGTTTCTTTCACTGTTTTTTCATAAAAAATTCTGCTTCAAATAGTGTACTACCATCATTTTTTTATAAGCACCAGTCATCTTCATCTCTTTATTCTTAAATATAACTAATATTAGCAAGTTATCCTAAATTTTGTAATAAACTTTTTATTTTGCCCTCGTTAAAGATTTATTTTAATAGCTAATATATTTATTTTTTTTAAAACATCATTTCCTAGATAATAAATGTTCTGAAAATTATATTTTATCATAATCTCTCTTCACCACTCTTTTTCATAATTTTTTTATTATAATAATTTTCTTACTTTTTTTCTTGTACTTTCTCTTCCACAAATAACAGTATTTTGTAGAAAAACTTCCAATTCTTAAATATTTACTGTATTTAACCAATTTTAATTATTTTTTATTTTATGTGATTTAGTCTAAGGTTGCTTATAAAAGACAGAGGGAGGGATTATTATTTACCATAATCCAAAAAAATTACGGGCTCATTTGTTAGAAAGAATTGATAGGAATAAAAAGAATGAAATGAAATTCTTTTTAGTGATAATATGTTTGGTAAGGATTGGAAAAAAAAAGGGTTGATGTAATATTTGATTGGATGAAATGGGTGAGAAAAGTATCCAATCTCACCATATTTCCCTTAATGAAAGAATATATATATTTTTAAATAAAAATGCTTTTTAAACTTGAAAAAATTACAATAAGGTCTCATCCAAGAGAATTAAATACAAAAAAGTACCTTAAAATAATCAAATTATTTTAAAATCTCAAGGGACCTCATTGCAATAAATTTTATTTGTTAAATTATCAATTTGCCTTTTTTTTAAGTTTGCATTGATAACTGAAAGAGCAGTCATTAACAACTTAAAATATAAAAATTGACAACTATCACGGCAGGTATTGACAACACATTTTCTCAGCATATCACAAAATAAAATGTATGAGTTGTCAATACCTACCGCAATAACGATCAATCCTTACACCTTAAATTGTCAATGACTGCCTTTTTAATTGTCAATACAAACTTTAAAAAAAAAGGATAATTTGGTGATTAAACAAATGAATTCTTTTATAATAAGATCCTTTGAAACTTTAATAATTTGATAGTTTTAAAGAACTTTTTGTTTTTAATTCTCTTGAGTGGGACCTTCTTGCAATTTTTCCTTTAAACTTACATGATAATAATATTATTGAATATCAATAAATAAATTGGAGAT